AGCTCTGGCGGCTACAGTGGCAGCTCTGGCGGCTACAGTGGCAGCTCTGGCGGCTACAGTGGCAGCTCTGGCTACAGTGGCAGCTCTGGCTACAGTGGTAGCTCTGGCTACAGTGGCAGCTCTTCCTATGACCATGGCAGCTCCTATGATGGAAGTTCCTCCTACCACTACCAGGACAGCTTTGTGGCACGTGGGTTTGGCCTATATAGATAGTGCATGTATCCAGCTAGGACTAGAGCCACCTCGTGCCATAGCATCCGCTGTAGATTCTAGGTCCTACAATTCAGCGACTTTTCTTCAAGGCCTCTCACAGCTCGAGAAGCCAGGACGGGTCTGGATCATCCTATGACAGTGGCAGCTACAGTCATGGAGATGCCGGATACAGCTCTGGGTCAAGCAGTGACTATGGCAGCAGCGCAGACACCTCGTCAGGCATCTATAAGGACTGTAGTCACTGTAGGTCGGAGTTGTGTGCTTGAACTTGGCCACAGAACCTGTGGGCATGTGACGGCTCTCAGCTCCTTTTTCGAACAAGCCTTGCCTTGCAACCTGACACAGGCCAAGCTCTGCTGCCTTCCCCAGCCATTTTTGGCTCGTTTGAAGACACATGTGTCACATGAACGCAAAAGCACTCAAGCACTCACGCAGCAGCAATACCGTCATGTTGAGAGTGGAGGGAGGTGCCGTTTTTACTAACATTTGCAAGTCCAAGCCGCATTCTTCCGTCTTTTTGTGAAAGGAGAGACCGCAGGCTATGCTTTTGGAGTGCCACCACTCATCTCCCATGTGTACCACTTGCTGTGCCATGGCTTGCCACGCATGCAGTCCTTCTACCAAGCTGAGAGCCAGGTGACGCTTCCTGCGGGGAGCCAAGTGGAGCTTTCTGATGTGGTGAGCGTCACCCCGAGAATCTCGCCGAACATTGGGGGGTTGGGAAAGCAAGCAAAAACACGTGCATCAGTGCATCCCAAGCAAAACCGAAAAGAGCACTTTGCTTCATGTTCCTTATGGTTTCTGAGCCCAGTGGTTCAGCGGGTGGAGATGGGTGGAGAGAAGAGGGGCTATTCATAAAACATAGCATGGAAGGTGGGGATTGTGCGGCGATTCTGGATCTTCATTGACGCCAGTTTCCAGCGCTCGCCTTCGAAAGCCAATCCGACAAACAGCCGTGTTTTCTTATAATATCTTATAATACATTATTAATCATTACTATAATTACACACATTATATACTATATACTTGAGTCTTGAAGTATTTCGTTTGAACAGGGTGACTAATAATGTGACTGGTCGCGTCAAACTTCCCCCTCCGCAGATACATCCTTCGATCAACGATGACTATTGACTATTTTACCGCACCCAGAAACCAACACAGCTGCCACGGTGCTTGAGCCAAATTGGAAAAAAAGCTGAGGGGCTGCGCCGCACGCACCCAGGGAAGCCAGCAGCTGGTATGGAAGCCACCCGCAGCAGGGCACGGCTGGCAGTGCTGTTCGGGATCGGGGACGGACGCAGGCCACAAGAGCTAATTACATCACACACACAACATATGTATACATATACAAATATATAAATAGGTTGCTCCGTCAGACTTAGCTATATAGATTTGCATGAACTGATGAGCTCTTCAAAATCCTGGGTTTTAGTCTTACATATTTGTTTGAGACTTGAAAGTCCTTCATTTTTGTCTTTTTGATGTTTCAAACGGTGAACTCTCGAGGCTTTGGCGCCCGCGCGCCACGCGCGCCGCCGATCTTCACCTCCACGGGTAGGAATGGTGAGGCTGTGGCAGCAGATCGGAGGAGCGAGGGAGATTCAACCGATTGAGAAATACATAGAATGCGAATTTGAAGGATTGTTTTGCCGCTTTGCCCCTGAGAGAAGGGAATGATATAGTGAATATGTAAGGGGTGACCATTAACGGCAGCGGCTAGAGTTGCAATGTTCTTCCGTACTTGTTTTGTGTCCAATTCATGCCTTTGGAGCCATATGTGATGATTAGATCTTTCGGGATGCGGGTAGACCGTAGACCCCCCCAAGAAAGCACCATCCATGGCTTTATCACCACAATCAGGCCGCTTGGTATTGTAAACATCAATGGACTCTCAAAACATCAACCAGTCCAACATGATGCTGGGGCTTGGAGCTGTCAAATCTTGAGACGAACATGCTCTCCAAGTTTTCTGAAAAACATATGTCCCATCCCACAGTTTTCTCTTTGACACTCCATTTTTCGTGTACCTCAACACCTGCGACCATCGGCTGATCCATATCCTCGCAGGATCCGGGACGTGCAGTCGTTCAAGGAGCTGCTGAGAGTCATCCAGGACTGTGCAGCGGCCGCGTGTTCGTTCCGGTGTTTCTGATTCTCTGTAGGCAAGCGGCAAAAATTAAATTAGATTTAAATTCATAGCTTCTTGTTACTACTAGCATGGCACTTGTTACTACAAGCTATGAATTCCGACAACTGAGCTAACGAAACCGATCCTTTGCCCACAGGTAATTAGTAGCAAGGACACTACTAGGTGGCCATCGGTATCAGGTTGGAGGCCATCGCTACTAGGAACAAGAGGCTACTAGTAGCAAAGAGTTGTGTTTCCTGCCGAAATCTAAATGCCGGTGCACACTCCAGGAAGGCTTGGCCAAGTTCGATGAAGGGACCCTGGTTATCGCCTTGTGCACTGGAGCCAAACTGGTGGATGAAAGGCCTTTCTGATGCAACCGCAGATGGGTTGCACGTGCTTCTTGTGGGCCCGTTTAAAATGTTGTGATGGCTTTGATTGTCCTTTGCCAACACCCTGGGCAGCCTTGAGAGCAGGTCCCTCTCCAGCATCTCTTCGCATGCTGCCTGGGTGACGCTCGTGGAGCGCGTGCATGGCGCCATCCCATGTTTGGACGGGCTGGGGCTCACGGCTAGTGTTGCCATTGATGTCGTAACATGTTGGCTTGTGAAAGTGTCAAGTCATAAGCTTTGGTTGACAACGGTGCTGCTGATCTATGGCTTCTTATTTGTATCCTCTACATTCCTGACGGCTCTGACTCTTGACTTTTATATAAGCAAGCCAAGCATGCGGTTCCTATTCTTTCATGGCAAGGAGCCACGTGGCTTGTCTATGGCGGCCTACGCCTGTGCAAAGTTGGCCTTGAACAAGGACTGCTCATGCTTGGTGTAGTGACTTGACAGATGCAGCCAGAGCTGGCAGAGATGTGCTACGTGGGATATGCGCAATCTTAGAGCTTTCGGGGTGGTTACGCCCAACGTGTGGAAAACCACTACAGTACTGGAACAATGCTTTTGCTTGCAGCATCCTTTCCCGAACCCCATTGAGGACACATGACGCACACTCTGGGAACGCCATGGTTCACCGGCAGTTCACCTTCATTGAACACCTTCATCGGAGAAGATCAACAACAGTGTTTCAAGATGTTTCAAGTAGAGGCCAAGCGGCTATTAGATTGGAGGCTATTGCTCTTCGGTTGGAAGTAGAGGCGAAGCGTTATCCAAGCCGAGTTCACCGCTCCAAAGGATGCCTTGCTCTCGGAACTGGCCGACTGCTCGGTGCGGAAGGCCCGCGGAAGGGGCCGGCCACCCCACCCCGAAGCGTTTCTTGGATAACCCAAAGTCACAACTCGAAGACTGAACTGAACATGGGACAGTTGAAGACTGTCCAGTTGTCGAGTGGAAGACTTTGTCATCAAGCCATATTCATTGATGGGATTTTCAATTGATCTACCAATGTAAAGGAAGCGCATCTGGGAAGTTCTCAGGTGCACATTTCACCCATCAGCTGTCAACAGCTTCGTCAGCTTTGCTGGCCTAGGCGGCAGACTTTAGCTCGACTGATGTGGCGAAGATCTGTGCCTTGACAAGAGGATTTGGGCCACTATGGGGAGGCAAAGAACCAGTGGCCAGGGTGACTCTAGGGTGATATATTATTGGATTCAGTCGTGGAGCGGACCCCAAATCCGTCTTTGGAGAAACAACACATCTCCCAAAAACCGGTGGAGAGAAGCAAGTTTGCGAAAGGATCACTGGTGCTTCTTTTTCAAACCTTAGTTAGTTTCTGCCTCCACGAGCTTATGAAGCACATCCCGCACCCCAAACAACAGGCAGCCGCCAGGAGGGGGCAACGGTGCGGGGTTGGCTTCTTGTCTTTTCCCTTTCGACACCTTCGGGTGGGATCCAATGGCTTGGCACTTGGGGTTGTGGAAAAGTTGGGACCCTTTTAGCCGGTTCCCCTACGTTTCCCACATGCAGTCGAATGGTCATGAAGGTGCTGCCACCGTGCTGGAATTTGGGTCAGTTCCATCGCCAGAGTATCAAACCTTGTGGCAATCCTGATGGTCCGACAATAATAATAGCTCAACCGATCTGAGGCTGGGCCTTTGCAAAGCTGGACTTTGTTCAAGAAGCCTTGGCCTTCTGGAAAGAGATGGCGCAGGTGGTACTGCACAAGGCCGAGAGAACTGACATTTTGGGTCGATCACCCTCAAACGGCGGTCGGAAGTAATAGCGATGGCCTCCGACCGAAGAGCGACAAACATGTCGCAAAACCAGAACTGTGAATTGTGCGCTGCACATCTTGGAGGGTTCTTGAGAACATGTGTTTGCGCTTCGCCGCCTCGAATCTCAGCGGTGGGGCATTAACGCCTTTGAGCCTATGGATGCTGGAAAAGGGCCGTGTGATCGCGGCTGACCGATCGTGAACTTCGACTCGGGACTTCGAGAACCCGAACCTGGTGAGTTTGCGCCCGCTTACCAACATTGGTAGCGGAGCGCTGGACGCGCTTCGATGCCAGGTGGTGATGGACCTTCGACGACCGGTCCTTCAACTACCTCCTCGATGGCTGGTGGCACTATCGAGACTATGAAAGACACCTTCATCCCGGTCTTCAACAACAAGGTGGCGGACTACCGAGAGTGGAGACAGCGAATCATGCTGTACAAGAAGAAACTTGCCATCCAAGGCAAGGACAAAGAGGCGATTCTGAACTTGCTCGCGAGCTTGCACGGCACTGCCTGGAAACAGGTAGAACACATGGTCGAGGCCGTCTCAGAGGCCTCAGCTGGCTTTGAGAGAGTGCTCAAAGCACTCGATGTGGCATTCCAGTACGACAGCCGGGTCGAAATGCCAAGGGCCTTGGAGAAGTTTTTCTATCAGCTGAGCAGGAAGTCGAAGTCAGAACAGACTCTCCTTTCCTACTGCACGGAACACAGAAGACCAAAGGTGAGACCCATCCAAGATGGAACAAGAATCTCATCAAGAAGCAACAAAGATGGTATCCAAGGAAGTCCCAACATGGCTACACTGCTGAGGAGTGTGACCCTGACTACCCCGAGGACTATGAGGACAGCTACCTCTTGGAGGATGAGTTCCTTGAGGATGAACAGGCCTTTGAAGAGTATGAGGATCCTGAGACCACCTACGGCGGCCCGGATGATGAGCTCTACTACCAGGAGGAGCCATGGGCTGAGGATCCAGACCCGCAGCTGGAAGAAGCCTATGCCACGTACTTGGACGCCAGAAGACAGTTTGCCAACCTCAAAGCTGCACATGGCTACTACCCTGTTGTGGCCCTGACGAGTACAGCAGATCTTCAAGGCGCATCAAGCTCTTCGGCAACAACCCAGAGACCTCTCAGCAAGGGAGGAAAAGGAAAGAAGGGCAAAAGCAAGGGCAAGTCACCTCCACAGAAGGGACCAGCCCTCCAGCGTGGGATAACAGCCCTGGACTTGATGCAATGTTTCAAGGACATGCTGCTGCAGACTGTCCTCTGAACAAGGGTTCACAGTCCCCAAGCGAGCGAAAACTGAGACATCTCCAAAGAATGCTGGGCAGGCCTTCATGATGCATGATCTCAGCCAGAAGGGGACCCCTATGTTGTCTGAACAGGGATGGTTTGGCCTTCAAGACGGAGGAGCAAGCAGCATGGTCTGTGGCCACCAGACTTTGATGAACATCATCGAGTACATGTATGATAAGGGAGTTCCCTTGGAGCGCTATACCTTCCACCCGACCACCAAGCTCTTTGGTTTTGGAGGTGATGCGATGCGCAAGGCAGAATGGACAGTTCGATTGCCAGTTTATGTCAATGGAGTCTCCGGTCTCATTGAGTGCTTCCTGGTTGACGGCGCTACACCCCTCCTTGTTGGAAGGCCCATGTTGAAATCACTCAAGGTGAAGGTGGACTGGGACCAAGACCTCATCAAGTATGGAGATGCAGAATGGCAGCAAGCTGTTCGTGGAGAGAGAGGAGAATACCTTCTCCGACTGGATGATGGAGTACAAGCAGATCCGAAGGGTGAGAATGTCTTGTTCGACTTGGTCACCACTGAGACCTACGAGATGGTCCAAAGAACAGGAGTGATGCATTCCTCAACCTACACCCTGCTCCAATACTTGGAGGCCACAGGCAGAGACCCACCAGAGCACTGCCTACGAGCTGATGAAGAGAATGTCACTGATGCTGAAGCAGTGGAAGATCGTCCCATTGTGCTGCCCGATGAAGAGGAAATGGCAGCAGTGAAGAAAGAGATCACGGACAAGCTGCTCAGAGGCATTCGTGTACATCATGCCACGATGTTCGCTCACCGACGTACTGTCCTTGAACAAGGCCTCCGAGCGCATGAACAAGGCGCTAAAGTCTTTTGGGAAGTATACTCAGGGGAAGCTGGCCTTTCGATGGAGATGCAGCGCCGAGGAAAAACAGTCTTCAGCTTTGATCTCAACACTGGCTGGGATTTTGACTTCCCCGATCATCGGAACTCTTACTACAAGCTCCTTGAGGACATCGCTCCTGACTTTGTCTGGATTGCATCGGCGTGCAAGAAGTGGTCCAAGATGCAGGCCTTGAACGCGCTCACTCCAGAACAGACCTTCGCCCTGCAGTGTGATCGAGACTATGAAGAAGCTGTACACCTCAAGCTGGCTGAGAGAACCTTTGTCATCCAGTACAACGAAGGAAGGGATGCCGGGATCGAGCATCCAGCATGGTCCAAGGCATGGGACACTCAAACCTGGAGCAACCTACCAGGCTGGCCATGTCGATTAGACCAATGCGCCTATGAGGCCAAGATTGCCGATGAATACATCAAGAAGCCCACACGTCTGCAGCTGACCAGTCCATCAATGGTGGATATGCTCGTGTGGAGGTGCCCTGGAGACCACACCCATCTTCAACTCGAGGGATCTCTGCCAGGAGTTGGTTTGTTGACCAAAGCCGCAGGTGCCTATCAGGAGAGCTTCTGCTACTGGATTGGAGAGGCCATTGATCTTCTCTACTATGAGCCGGAAGAGCTGGGCATGACAGCAGGCGACTATGATGATGAGGAGTACACCCCCACAATTGCTGACCACCACCGTGACGATGAGCCCAATCAGAACTCTGCACAAACTACACCTCGAGGAGATGCTCCATCTACAGATGGTCCTCGAGGAGGGGGTCAACAGCCGACAGGTGTGCTCCAACACCTTCAACTTGCTGACAGCCAGCAGGCCAAGAGAACTATCAGCCGTCTTCATCGCAATCTTGGGCATCCAACCAATGCTGAGCTATGCAGGCTGCTTACTTTGAAGGGAGCTCATGAGAACCTGATCAACCATGCAAAGAGCCATGATTGTGCTGTGTGTGCTCAACATCAACGACGCCCACAAGTACCAGTTTCCTCGGTGCCCAAGAGTTCAACACTCGTGTGCAGTCAGATACCTTGTGGATCAAAATGCCTCCTGCAAAACGAGCGCTACCAGTGATGATGATCAGCGATGCAGCAACTCGGTTTCTTGGGGGCAGAGTTTTGCAACGGGAGTCTCCAGAGGAATGTGTGCTGGCACTTGAGCGTTCGCAGCTGGTCTTCAGAATATGTCAAATCATGGTGCTCAGAGAATGGCGTACAACTCCAGATCTCCCCTGGACAGAGTCACACAAGATTGGCCATCTTGGAAAGGCGCCACCAAGTGACAAGAAGAGCAATTGAGCTGTATGTGGCCGATCAAGAACAAGGAGATGTCCTTCAACCCTATGAACCACGAGAACGCTTGATTCAGGCTCTTTGCTATGTCATCCCCCAGATCAGCCGGGGAACGAATGTTCGTGGGTACAGCCCTGTGCAGTGGGTTCTTGGCTACACACCTCATGTTCCAGGACTTCTCACCGAAGAACCTCTGGAGCTGCCCAGTCTGGATCCATCAGATGAGTTCTTACAAAAGCTCCAATGACAGAAGAGGGCAGCCAATGCAGTCTTTTCAGCAGATGTGGATGTTCGCCTACGACGGGCCCTCAACAGAAAGTTCACAGGCCAGTTGACAGTTTGTCAGCTCGGCGACATGTGCTACTACTACCGTGATGGACCTGGAGGGATTGGCCCGAAACTACGTTGGAGAGGACCTGCTCGAGTCGTGATGGTTGAACAGCTGGAAAGCGGCCCACATACCACGATTTACTGGGTGGTGCATGGAACCAACTTGCTGAGGGCTGCGCCGGAACATTTGCGACCAGTACCAGAACAAGAGGTGCCCAAGCCCACAGAGGATGATCCCTTTTACCGTGCACAACAAGCCCTTCAAGGAGTGAGAAGCCGTGGGACGACACTATACACAGATCTGACTCGGACCAACAAACGTCAGCGCCATGAAGCTTCAAGTGATGAAGAAGATGAAGAATTTGATGAAGACCTCCCGGATGGCGATGACGAGCGCCCTGGCCTCGCAGATAGTTGGGAATCTCAGATGATCGAAAAACATGGACAAGAATCCACAATGTGCCAAGGCAAGAACTCTATGTCCCGGAGAATGACTCTGAGGTGCCCGCAGATCGTTTCAGCAGTGACCGTTTGACAACAGTGAGAAGGCAACCTCCACATCCCCCACGAGTTCGCCTACGTGATGATTGGAGAGTTATGGATGCTGCCAGGTCACTGCACTACACCTGGACGGGCACCACGACCTTTGTGATTGAGGATCAAATGGATGATGACTCAGATGTACTGGTCGAGTCTTTGGCGACACTGATGCACCGCCAGAACCGGATGAACCCCAAGATGAACCTCCTCCGACTGATGGTGATGGACAACCTCAAGGAGGAAGCAGTGGCCAAGGAGACATGATGCCCGAATCCGGAGGAGGAGCTGGCGGACAAAGTTCCCAATCACCCCCTCCAAGCAGCTCAAATGTTGTCGAGGCCAGCCCTGCACCAGTACCAGAACATCAGAGAAGACTTTAAGAAGCGCAACCAGCAGAAAGTTTCCAATCACAGAGGGCAAGAGTGGACAAGCAAGAGACTATGTTTGGACTCTCCAACAGATGAATGGACTTTGGAAGGAAATTGGCTCATTAGGAACCACTACGCGCTGAGGAAGGGAGCCTACAAACCAACAGAAGATACCTGTCCAATTGACCTCAACTACCTCGCCGAGGATAGAGTGACCTCAACATCACATGGCACCTTCAAGGACAGATGGAAGCGCCACAGTGTGAACCATCTCATTGAGGAGGCCTACTGGACGGGACAGACGAAATTCAAGTTGAAGCCCAACTGGAGGAACAAGGCCCAAGAAGACTACAGGAAAGCCAGTGGGGGATACAAGTCCATGAGGTCTACGGATGACCAGCCTCTAGCCAAAAAGAAGAAGGCAAAGATGAGGTCTACGAGCGCTACATGTCCGTTGCAGACAAGCCTTCATGAAAGCAAAGATCAAGGATCTTGAGAGTTTCTTCAAGAATGAGGTCTGGCTCTACGACCATGAAGACAATGCAGACCCAGCCAGAGTGTTGAAGGCGCACTTCATCCTGGCTTGGAAGAAGAATGAAGATGGCGCACCAAGGGCAAGAGCTCGGCTCATCACACAGGGGTTTAAAGACCCTGATGCCCTGTCCGGAGCACTGACGACCAATGCCACCGACTTTGACAAGACTGGCAAGAGGCATGATTTTGAGCATTTGCCAACTCTACTCCTGGAAGATGTTCACCTCAGATATCACGACAGCATTCCTGCAGGGAAAGAACTTCGCAGAAGGATCTGACCGCGTGATTTGGGTCAAGCTCCCAAAGGATGCCAAGATGCTGCTCGGTCTTGATGCAGATGCCCCTCAACTCATGAAGCCGGTGAAGCCGATGTATGGTTTGTGTGATGCACCTAGGGCATGGTACGAAGAGGCTTCAGAGCGCATCCTTAGGGTTGGAGATGGGAACATCCTACGGTGTCCCCTTGATCCATGTCTCTTCATGGTCTACAAGCCATGGCCAGAAGACACTCCATTGGATCCCAATGTGGAACGTGAGCTGGCCGGCATCTTCGGGATTCACGTTGATGATTTGGTTGGTTGTGGAAACCCAGAGGACCCGATCTTCACTGAGACCAAGAAGAAACTGCAAGAGGTCTTCACCTTCCGGGAATGGCAAGATGGTGACAAGCTTGAATACTGCGGCAGCCAGATCGATTGCCAACGTGCAGAAGTGATCACCCTTGGACAAGAGGAGTACATCCACAAGGTCAAGCCAATCCCAATTGCCAAGGAACGTCTCCAGAATCCAGACAGCCTGGTGACAGAAAAGGAAAGATCCCCTCATTGGTGGATTGCAGTGGCCGGCGTTACAAAGCTCGCCACATCTTCAGGTGGGAATTTCCCAGTTGGCAGGGGAAACATCGAAGGCGACAGTGGCAACACTCCAAAAAGGGTGTTATGCAAAGGAGTATGCTGATGTTGGACTGCAGTACCGTCGCTTGGGAGAAAAGAGTGAGATGACCTTCGTCGTCTACAGCGACGCTTCATTTGCAACACGATCAGATTTGAGCAGTCAAGGAGGCTACATGTTGGCCATGTGCCACCGGGATGTCGCAGATGGAAAATGTGAAGGCCGCTATAACATCCTCGATTGGCGCAGCTGGAAACTGCTTCGTGTTGCTCGTAGCACCCTGTCCGCAGAGTCTCAAGCAGCCAGTGAAGCAGCAGACAGCCTGATGTACACCTCCCTGTTTTGGAACATGATCTTCAGAGCGCTACTGCCATTAGACAGCATTGAGACTGGACACCTGGCAAATAGCCCCAAGTTGATTGTGGACGCCAAGGCTCTCTATGACATCTTGGTCAAGGAGGAGATTCAGGCAGCAACTGGAGCAGACAAGCGAACCACAATTGAGGCTCTGGTCTGCAGAGACAAGCTGGCTTGCTGTAATGGCAAGGTGATGTGGGTCTCATCAGAACTTCAGTATGCTGATGGCCTGACAAAAGATGCAGCAGCACCTTTGCTTGGACAGAGACTGAGGTCCCACACGACAAAGCTCAAGAGCAACGAGACCTTTCAAGCCTCAAAGAAGAAGAACATTGCAAGCCACAAGAAGGGTGAGAACATGTACGCCATCAAAAGACCGGAAAGAGCATTGTATGCTATGTTTGCCAACTACTTCCTGGACGTGGTCAACGCCCATGAGATTGAGAAGGTTGGCAATGGAACTACGAAGGGGAACTACATCCCTGAGGGTTATGACATGTTTGATTTCATGCTTTTGATCTTCTTCACAATGCTCCTGGGCATCCTGGTTTGGCTATGGATGAAGTGCTTTGACAAGATAACCATTATAGCTGGACTCCAAAAAGAGTTTGCCACCAAAGAGTACCAGAGAGTGCTCAGCTCAGACGGACCGCGCAGGTTTGGAAGAGCAGCGTTTGGTGGAACTTCGAAAAGACAAGATGAAGTTGCTGGACGAAGTGGCTCATTTTCGTGATGAATGGGCCCTTGCACAAGGGAACTATCAGGATTACCGCCATCAAGTACAAGTCTTGCAGCGGACCAACCAGAAGCTGAAAGACGAGCATGAGGAGACCCTCAAACAAAAGATGAAGGTTGCAAAGCAGAACGCTTCCCTGAAGCCAATATGCTTGGCAGCCATGGGTGGATGCTGGCATGCAAGCCGAAAATGTGTCGCTGGGCGCACAGCGAACGTCGTCTACGAGAGGCAACCATGCAAGTCGTGCTCCCACATGTTCTTTGAGAACTGCACTCCAAATGCCACACTTGGAGCGACTCACTGGGCAGAGAACACAAATGGTGACCTCACTGGAACGTCGGCGTCGTTGGCAACGCCATGGTAGCAAGGACGTGTTTGAATTTAGAATTCTTGATCTGACCCTCCTTTTTCACCTGTGTGAATTGTGCGCTGCACATCTTGGAGGGTTCTTGTGAACATGTGTTTGCGTTCGCCGCCTCGAATCTCAGCGGTGGGGCGTTAACGCCTTTGAGCCTATGGATGCTGGAAAAGGGCCGTGTGATCGCGGCTGACCGATCGTGAACTTCGACCCGGGACTTCGAGAACCCGAACCTGGTGAGTTTGCGCCCGCTTACCAACAAGAACAAATACCCAGAGCGCGCTCACAGCGGTTGTAGGCTGATCAATACGAGAAATCACCATTGGCTTTGAGACAGGTGGGCACTGCACGCCATGTGGAGCTTTCTATGAAACTTGGCGTGGTGCAGTGTGGACTGTGAACGAGGCCGTAGACATGCAAGGTTTGCTTGAAGACAGGCTATGCACACTTGTCGGAGGCAAGAACCTGTTGGGAAACAGCCTTCCTTAAAATCATTGGATGAGACCATTTTTTCTGCCAGTGGTTTGCCAATAGAGTGTGCATAGCACACAGATCTGTTTGTCATGCGGTATCACTTTATCATCGTGACAGTGTGACACCAGAATGCTTAACACTTTGTCAATCTTTGTCATTTTTCTTTTGTAATGGATGAGTCCACAAAAACTTGAGTTGAAAACACCGAGACTCCCGCAGTTTCAGTTTCAGCGAAGAACTCCGAAACTGCGAGGATCGCCTGGGCCTTTGGCACGGCGCAGCAGGGCACCTCGGCCATGTATGCAGAGCTGGGTGCCTGCACCTTGCGGATGCTACAGGTGGGGTGTGAAGATTGGGGCTATGACACTATGAAGGATTGGGAAACATGCCAGAAGGTTGGGCAGCCGAAAGATGGAGAACGACAATCAACGACAGGGTGACATGTGGCAGTTTCGAACATTGAGTGGTTTTCCTTCCGTGTCCTCCGTCCTCACTGCAACCTGTGCACTAGTTATATATTAGTTAGAGTTCTTGTTTTTTTGACTTGTTTTGCACAGGACTTGACGCCCCAGTGCTTGGCCAACATCGCAGTAGCCTTTGCCCCTTGGCAACAGCCGGCTGATGCAGTGCAAGATGGGGGTGGACATTCTGCAGGGATCCTGCAACGATGTGGGACAAGGGTATCCACTTGGGATTTCTTCGGGACCACCAGGTGGCCACCAGTCATCTTTGAGGCACGGCAGAATCTTCCTGACCGGGAGCTCTTCGAAGCAATCTCCAGGCAACCTGAAGAAGTGCGGCAGAATGACGGGCCTTCAATTTTGCAGCATTTCACAGTTCGAGCTCGACTAGTCACACTTGTTTGATAAGGAGCACGGTAGCTGGCAATTCTTGGCCTGAACTTCTGCAGCAGGCGTTCCAGAAGTTTGGTTGCGGAGTTTGCTGACTTTGACGTCACAAACCTTTGCTGGGCGCAAGCGCGAGCCAACCAGGTGGACCCGGACTCTTGGTGTTTGAAGCGGGCTACAGACCTCCCAGTTCACCTGTTTACTTCATGTAGGAATCCGGCTCACTTGTTTATAGTTCATCAACTTTGAATCGCAGTCATTGTGGACCTTTTTCCAAAATTTCCCCAGCAACCCAGCAAGGACCTGTTCGAGCAGTTAGCGACACATACCGCAAGGGCCTGAGTAGCGCTTCGTGCATGGTTTTTGAGACACAGACCCAAAGTCTGTCAGCAGTGGCTATGTAGAATGCGGCTTCAGCTTTTCCTGATATTGGAGTCTTCAACTCTGACATAGTCCAAAGGTCTCACGTTTCAAAGTTCCTCATTCTGCTCCCAAACTGCTTCAAACCCACGGTCCAGGTCTGCTCTCGCTTCGTGAAGCGCTACAGCGCGGAGATGGTTGCACAGATGTGCTGGGCCTTCGCTGTGGCCAAGGACCGCATGTCTTTTGCGGTCCTTGCGCGTTTTGTTCGACATGGTTTTACCTCAAACAAATCAGGAGGGACTTGAAAAGCATGCGCAGGTCGTGTTTTTCCCCAGATAGCGAAGCTATGGGGTTCTTACTTCAAATAACAACGAGTTGCCCGTGCGCGCTTTCGAGACAGGTTGCTGGTGCTGGTGCCGGGTGCCGGTGCTGGTGCTGTGAGCTGGCTGTGCACGCTGGTGCTGTGAGCTGGCTGTGCACGTGGTGGAGACAGGTTGCTGGTGCTAGTGCTGGGTGCCGGGTGCCGGTGCTGGTGCTGGTGCTGTGAGCTGGCTGTGCACGTGGTGGAAACAGGTTGCTGGTGCCGGTGCTGGTGCGGGTGCTGTGAGCTGGCTGGTGGTGTGATCTGGCTGTGCATGTGGTGGAGACAGGGTGCCACTGCTGGGTGCTGGCTGGCTGGCTGCGCACGTGGTGGAGACATGGTGCCGGTGCTGGCTGGGTGCTGGGTGCCGGTGCTGGTCCTGGTGCTGTGAGGTGCCGGGTGCTGGCGCTGGCCGTGCGCGTAGTGGAGACACGCCACGCTGTAAAAATTGGAGCTGCTGCCAATGCAGGGTGCAGCCTAGAAAAATCTTTTGCATGCTTTTGCTATCTGGGGTCTATGCTGGAGTACTTGTTCTTTTTGCCTTTGACAAGTGCATCGGATAAGCAAAATTCAAACCCGCACCCAAATTCAAAACAGCTGATTGATCTCAAAACGGCGGCTGGCAGAGGCTTTGTTCAATGCGGGTCAGCTGGTCAACTTGTTGTGACCTAGGACCCAGGAATATCCCCAAAACAAACAGTGTAGACGCATCACACCATTGGACGGCTATATTTGCCCCGGATGGGCAAGATGGGACAAAGGGGGAACAATTTGTGCAGAAGGTTGGGTATCCAGTGTCACAATCGTTTGACTGTCTGACTCTTCGTCCGAGTCACACGAAAGTCGCAATATCCGATTCCTATTTGCTGCCACCTGTTGCGGGATGAAGTCGTCACTGGGGTGGGTGAGAACGTATCCATGGTGAGAATATGCCGTAATATGCCTTAGCCTTCAGTTTGGTCAAGCAAGGTTTCCAAGATGTTGTCCACAGTTCCCCAAGCCCTGCAAGAATTCCAAGGCAGCATGCATCCAATTCACCATGCCCCAGACCATACAGCTAGATGTCCCCATTCCCCTCACAGGTGCAACATTCGCCGCTCTTCTGCGAGCTCTCAGAGCCACGGCACTTTTGCAAAGGTAAGTGGGTCAGTAGGTAGGATGCGACGGGGATGTGGACGAGGAGTGGAGTATTCATCAGGATGGGATTGGTAGCTAGTTGGGTTGAAATCTGGAATCCAACAGAGCTTTGAATCGCTTTTGGACTGGTGGGTTCATCCATGGCAAGAATCTGGATTGGTCGTCCAAGGATTTCATTGCCAAGCATGCCAGCGTGTTTGAGGCTGGGTTCGAGTGAACAAAACACTGCTTTCATGCTGCGGGAGAAATGATTAGTTTTTGGCAAATGTGCCTGGAACAACTCTCTGAGCCCTCACAAACAAGCAAGAAAACAAACAAACAAAGACCATGCGTTGGCCACACTACCATGCCAGTACAGCCCCGCCCTTCTCAGTATGTTCGCCTTGCATCCATGACTGGCTGAGGGAGACAGGGATAGACAGGGTGTCATGGATGTATATGGATGTATCATTTGGACCCAGCACCTGACTTCTGGAGTTCCACGAGACCCGGCAGGTGCAGTACGTGGCGAACTGCGCATGGGCCTATGCCACGCTGGGTGTGCCGGAGGCCTCAGCCTGGCAGGCGCTGGCGCGGGCCTCTCATCTGAACAAACTTGAACAGAGCCCCGGAGGACGTGATGGTGTGGTTGAGCATGGATGACTATGGGTAGCCACACAAATTTGTTTGTGAAGCTGCAAAGCAGAGGCCTCAAAGGACTAATCCTCATTTCCGGTGCTCAGTTCCAAGCTGGCTGGCGCCGATGATTGTGGTGCACAAACCTGGACAAAAACGGTTATATATATATATACTTCTTCTCTTCACTGGAAACTTTGTTGTCATTGCACCAAGGAATGCAAAGGTGGCCGTTTGTGGCGCTACACCCAAGATCAGCTGAGCGCTGTTTGTTGGGCCTTCACACGAATCCGCTGGCAGGATGCCGAGCTCTTTCAGGAGGGTCGGGAATGCTTCTTGATGGTGCGCAAAATATGACCCTCGATATTCAAGATGTAGGAGAAGGGTGAGGCATTCGCTTGTGACGCTAATTTGCTCGTTGCTTGTGACGCTAATTTGCTGATGTTGATGAGGATCGCGTGCAGGTCTGCAAGTGGTTTTGAACGTTAGCATGCCCCACCCTACAACCGCTGGCCTTCTGAGCTGGTAAAGACCGGTTCTACTTTGGATTGCACACCTACCAAAGTGAAGAGTGGATCTTCTCAAACCACTAGCTAGGTTTTGCTACCTAGTTCAAGCCAGCCAAACAAACACGCAACGGTGAAGAAGTGGCATGTATGACTGACTAGTAAGTTCAAAGGTCTCAATGTAGATTGCTTTGTCAATGTGGGAACAATTGGACAAAGAGTCGCGCGAACCGGACATTGCGAACAAGACATTGCTTGTTGTATCAAAGATCTGAAGCTCGTTCGGGCTGGAGGATATGCTTCAAGTAGCGTCCCAGAGACTGGCAGAGTTTGACACACAGAGCCTCCTCAACTTCCTCTCTGCCGTGGTGGTTTTGCGGGAAGAAGACTGGTTCAGTGCCTCAGATGGCGATTTATGCTGATGGGCCTCACATTTGGTCATGTCTGGTCCCAGTTCTTTTTCAAATGTAGTTAGAGCAGCGGCGTTCGGTTGGGAGATATATATAATATTATATATATATGACTGTCTATATATTGACGACACTACCCATACAAAAAGATCTTAACACAAACTCCAATATATATATATATATACACGTATACATACATATACTGGGGTAGACTTAAGTCGCATCAACTTGTTTCATGTCGCATTGTGACCGCGCAGCCTATGAGGATAGCATTAAATCACGTGCAAGGACAAGTCTGCTAGAATGACTGAGTAGGTATTTGCTGCGTAGTAATGTTGGCACTTGCTTGGGGTTGGCTGTTCATTAAGCCTCCCTTTAGTTCCCAATGTGGGGCACGATGTCGTGCAAATTGCAAGTTTGTTTTGGTGAAGAGTGGTGTGTGCGGGTTTGCTGGTTCACCCTAAAGGCTTGGAAGACTTGAACATCTTTGGACTGACGCAGTCTTGAAGAGGATTTTAATTGTGAAGAACCCCCATCCAACCAGCTCCATGCAGTTATGCTACTTCACACCCACTAATGTGGCAAAACCCGCCCCCTTGTATACCATGTATATATATATAAGTATAATGCACACTTATGTATTACTAGTACGGGGAATGCTCTTTTCAACTACTCATTCTTGACTTCAACATCTAAGAACTGCCACCGTGCACACCCCATGGCCCTGGGACCGAGGTGTCGGAGAGGACGAGCTGAGAGAGGATCCGAAGGACTGTGTTCTGCCCTTTGCTCTTAGAAGCTACTAGGAGCAAAGCCCAGGAGCCCCTAGCGTCCTGTCCTTGCTCCTAGTAGCGATGCCCTTTGCTCCTAGTAGCTTCTTTGCTCCTAGTAGCATGTTTTTGGATGATGGTTTGATTTTACTTTGCAGCGTATCGTGGAGTCTACGGCTACCTCCTTATCCGACTTACTTCATGACCACTCCTGATGTTTCGACTGTTCTGGACCGTGACATCAAACATGTTTTCGTCTACTTCTGAGGGCGGGCCGAATGGGTATATAATGTGGGGAAGGACAACTTGACTTGGCGAAGCGGGTATGTAGAGTCTAGTAGTGGAATTGAGCTGGAAACGCTTTGGCCTTGATGGTTATCAACTGGATTGACTCAGGGATGGTAGTTGCGACCGATTTGTATCGGGCATTGACATATCGGAGCTGCCAGGAGATCTTGGACAGCCTGCTCGACAGCAGCTTGACTCGACTTACACCAAAAAGGCAGAAAGTTGAAAGGAAGGAAGAACGAAAAGAAGGAACACAGAAAGGTCCAAAAATCTAGAGATCAAAAAAAGATGGAAACAAGAAGAACAGAAATAGACCCGAAAACAACAAGACCACATTTTAGGCCTGGGTCTGACCCAGAGGAGAACAGTCCACCAAGGCGTGATGCTTCAGCTACAAGAAAATCAGATGCAGCCAGAGGAGATCTGGGACACAACGACCAGCAGAACCGCCTCGGAAGACGGACGGGGCTATCGCAAGCCGGCCTGTAAGGTCAGGACTTGCCCAAGCAGATTCCCCTAGTAGCGTCCTTTGCTCCTAGTAGCGATGCCAGGAGCCCCTAATAGCGT